GCAGCCCAGAAGGCCAACCATATCCTGGGCTGCATCAAAAGAAGCATGGCCAGCAGGTTGAGGGAGGTGATTCTGCCCCTCTACTCTGCTCTCATGAGACCCCACCTGGAGTACTGCATCCAGTTCTGTGGCCTCCAACATAAGAAGGACATGGACCTGGTGGAGTGAGTCCAGAGGAGGGCCACAAAAATGATCAGAGGGCTGGAGCACCTGTCCTATGAAGACACAGGCTGAGACAGTTGGGGTGGTTCAGCCTGGAGAAGAGAAGGCTCTGGGTAGACCTTATTGTGGCCTTTCAGTACTTAAAGGGGGCCTACAGGAAAGATGGGGACAAACTTTATAACAGGGCCTGTTGTGATAGGACAAGGGGTAATGGTTTTCAACTAAAAGAGAGTAGATTTAGACTAGATATAAGGAAGATATTTTTTACACTGGCACAGGTTACCCAGAGAGGTGGTAGATGCCCCATCCCTGGAAACATTCAAGGTCAGGTTGGATGGAGCTCTGAACAATCTGATCTAGTTGAAGATGTCCCTGTTCATTGCAGAGGGAGTTGGACTAGATGACCTTCAAAGGTCCCTTCCAACCCAAACTATTCTATGATCCTATGAGAACTGTTGTGGCTCTGACCAACTGACAATCTGTAAAATAAAGGCCATTTGAAGCATCAATTCTTTTATCATAGTTGTTATTGTGTTACAAAGCATCTCTTGATTTAAAGAATCAAAGTGTTGGAGCTTTCAGCACATCCCTAAATAACTCATTCCGATAGTTAATCATTTGCACTATTAAAAATGTTGCTGTTCTAAATCTCTCCTACTTCTGCTGTCATTGTGCTTGTTTCTAACAGCCTGAAGATTAACAGAGATCTCTTGAGTCTGAAGGCTGTGATAAGGTGCCAAAGGATGTAGCCTCTGGATTTTATTAATTTAATTCGGTATTCATGCAATGCGTTTATACTTCATGGTTTACAAGGTACCTGTCAGACTCCTGCTGTGCAATTTTTTGTACAAACTCAGAACTGGTCACTGTCCTAATGGTGTTGTTGCCCACAGAGCAGTATGGTTGGGTGCTTCACCATTCACACTTATAACCCTCTTCCTCTGACTGTGCACCACAGACAGCCTCCTCCATCTTTTTATGTCACTGTCTGTTCTTAATCCTCCCTGTCTTTTTCTCTTCTGATTTCAGCTGATGCACTGCTTTGAGGCATCCACCAGCTGCTGTGGTTGGAGACTGCGAGTGCAGCCAGAAGGAAAGGCAAGAGAGGAAGGAGAGGAGCCAGATCAGCATCCCTGGCAGTTTGAGGTGGTTAGTGGCCTCTCACTGGCCCACCCTTGTTTGTGAGCATCATGGCAGAAGATGAGCAATGAAGCAGTATCATCGGCGGTGGGCCATTCCTCACCAGCATGAGGGGCACCACGGGAAAGGCGTGAAGACATCTGTGTAAACACCTAACAAGTAGGCAGCAGACTGGCATTAAGACCTGGTTTAAGGTGGGAATAAAAATCCCAACAGCATGTTGCTAAGCTCTTCCCCAAAGAGTTTATTGTCCTTCTTCCCTCCCTGCCCTTGAATCTATTCATTTTAGCAGGAAAATTGTTTCACTCCTGCTTTTCTCCCTAGCTCAGCACTAGGCTCCTTTCCCAGACCAACTTTTTAAGCTAATTTTAAAAAAAGACTCTTTCCCATGAGACAGTGAGGTGGCAGATGTGCTCTCTGACATGCCATGGCGTGTCTGCTGGCACTGCCATGCTCCATGCCCAATCTTTGGTATCTCCACTTAATCAGATGGTGTCTCTCCAGTGGGACTGCTTGCCTTTGGAGACACTTTCTTTTTCCTTCCCATCTCAGAAGAATGGGACATTCACATACAGCACTGGGGTCCTGCCCAGAGGTCGTGGCAGGAGACGGGAGATCCGGGCCTGGAAAAATATTTGGAGTCAAGAATGTTTTGAAAGACTAGACTAGAGGGGTCAGGCATGCGAGGAGAAAGATTTGCTATTTGTAGCAAATCCAGTGTCAGCCGTGTGAACAGAGAGACAAGGCTGGAGGCACAGTGTGGGAAAGCAGGCAAACAAGCCCAGCAGCTTCTCCTGGCTACAGGGTTTGGATGCTGGCATGCTTTTCAGGTTTGTCTTGCAGGGAGGTATTCTTTTTTTTTGAGACATTGTTCGTGGTGCTTGTCTCTGGGATGCCTTGCAAAGTCTGTGTCCGTACAGTCTCTTGCCTACAGCCTCTCCTGTACCCCCTCACACCTCTGCCTGCCACTGAGAGATCTCTTTTTTCACGTGTCCCTTTGACCACATCACCTACTTCTTTGCATCTTCCCTGAGCTCCCCGTCCTCCATCACGTCAAACATCAGGTGCACTGCCGGCACCGCTGGGCTTGTTGCACTGTCACCCCTCGGTGGGTTTGGAGGAGGCAGCCCTGATTCCTGCAAGGCTCATGCTGCTCACTTTCAACCCACTGTGCATTTTTCCAGAGCCCTTCTGCTCACATCAACAGCCTTAGGGCTGTTTTAGATCCAGTATTAGTATTCCCTTTTGCATCACTCCCTATAGGCATCACTCCCTGTGATGCCTATAAAAGCCTGTGATAGCAGATAAGCTACTGCAGCACTGAGTTTTCAAAACCTCTGGCTGACTCCGTCTCACTGTGTTTGACTCCTCTGTCTGTCTTTGATCCCTTAGCTGAGAGCGTGATCTCCCCAGGACAGGACAGTCCTTTGGCCTTTATCTTCTCAGCACAGTGAGTGCCACACCATGAAGATGGCACGAGTCTCTTTAGTAATAGTGATGTTAGCAAGAATAGAAAAAAATATACAACTCCACATTTAAGGGTTGCAACAGCTATCTTAAATTAAATAGAAATGGGAGAGGGCCCTCACTTGGAGAGAAAATGAGATTGGGAGTAGAGGAGTGGAGCTCCAAGCTGGCTTTCCCACTGATGCTCTTCACGGAAGATGGGAGACTGAGGCTCTTGCTCTTCAGGCTGAGTCAAGGGTTATCCATTTGCTGATAAATACAGAGCTAAATAGGCAGGCAGATCCCAGCCTCACAGCCTGAAAGGAAAGAGCTGCTCAGAGTTCCAAAAAAGTAAAGAAGCCCTTGAGGCTCAGAAGACACCTTGGGGCTCTGCATCCTGGTGAGAAACAGGTGCTGCTTTGAGGCAGCAGATTGATGCGCAGGTCCAGGACAGAGCAGGATGTCTGTGTGTCCTGGTGGAAGTCATCGATCTGCTCAGCATACTGGTTGTTGTCATGTCCATCTTGAGACATCTCATGCTGCCTTTTTGTTGGACTGGGACCATGCCTATCCTGGGGTAATGTGTGTCAGTCTTGGAGTGGGTTGTTTAAAAGCATCACCTGGTCAAGTCTTGCCTGGGGAGCAGGGCTTACTGCGCTTGTGAAAATACTTTCCTCTGCTGCCCAGGTAATTGCAAGCCTGGAATCAGACAAATACCTAATAGCTAAGGTTTAGCTTCAGTTCTTGATTTCCCAGGAGCCTTTTTACATCCAGGAAAATGAAATTTTAAGCCTGTCTCTTGAAGCTGCTCTCTTCAGGTTGGGCTGTGTCTGTGCTTTCATTTCCATCATCTTTCCTGAACATGACTAACTCTTTCTGTCAGGGCTGGGTGACCAGGCATCTGCCTGGACCCAAACCAAGCCCACTTACTACATTTCCTGTTGTTTCCCAGCCTGTCCAGCCTGCCTTTGTCTTCCTCAGTTCATAACACCACACCAAGAGGTGCTGAGGTATTTCCTTGCCTTGATACTTCTAGAAGTCATCCCTGCGTAGAGGAATGATAGTCTTAGAGTCCAGTCTATTTTTAGCGCTTTTACAGGCTACTTCTCTGACCTTGGGCAGGCACTTTAACCATCCGCTGTCCCATTTCGTCATTTGCAATATATAATACTCCTACTTTGTCTGCAAAGCACTTGTGGGTTGGTAGCACTTGGAGCTTTTTCCTTGGAAATCACATTATAAGAGAGACCTGTGCCTTACTGGCACCCAGTCTTTGGCAACACAGCTGATCATATCTACCTTCTTGGGTAGGAAAATCCACATTTTCTTGACTCTCACGAACTGCTCTGTAGTGTCCTTTCCATCCCCACTCTTCTGAAAACATTAATTTTCCCAGTCACTGAAGGAACGCAGCCTTTTCCCCAGCACTAGCTGAGGTATCACAGGCAGCTGTTCACTGGGCAGACAGTTGCTCTGCTGACTGTAAATTCAGAGGAGCAGTTTCATTCCCTTTAGGTAGATTTTGGGGGTTTTTTTTGGCCAGTTCTGTAGGTTTGGTCAAAATATTCAGAGGTGGGTGTTGATTAGGGGTATGTGATCCGAGGGTCTTCATCCTTCTGCCTCTTGTTAATCTCTCCTGAGGGAGGGTCTGCCAAGATGAGGTGATACTGCTCCACAGGAGGGTTTGGGATGTCCATTGCAGCTCCCAGAGAGACGGGAGGAGAATGCCTTTCCCAGGCACTGTGGCAGCATGTGGCTGGCAGCGACAGTGGTGACAGACACCCCAAAAAGGGGCAAAGTGGGTTCCCAGTGGTTCAAGCGTCCTGCCACCTCTCTTCTCCCTCCCCCCTTGGCCGGGCTCGCAGCTGGACAGGGCGGCTAACACCTTCTTCGGGGTGGTGAATCTGACTTTGCAGCATCCCTCCCCTGGCAGCCCCAGGAAGATTTCTGGCTGCGTCAGCCAAAATTCCTGCCGGGGACTGTGCTGCAATGCAGCACACCACTCCCCCGCCGGCGCTGAGCCCCAGCCTGGGCAGCCGGTGCTGCTCAGCTCCAGCCCCGCACCGCCGTAGGCTTCCCTCCTCCTCTTCCCAACGAGCCCGGATGATTTCAGGTTGCTTGGCATCCTCTCCTGCGGGCAGCTGGCGTCCGCAGCGTGTGTCAGCGCAGCCTGGCGCACGTTCGGTTTCACAACCTGCCGCCTGCGGAACGCGCTGGCTGCCCGAAGGGATCGGCTCTGGTTTCATATTTCATTTCCCTCTCACGCTACACCCGAATTCCAGAGGCTTTCTGGCTTCGCTGCTGCATGGACTCAGAGCCCAGGTCCTTTGCTGTACCCAGCGGAGGCAGTCGGGGCTCCCCTCAGCTCCAGGGAGTGGACCATGAAGACGTCAGTTGTATTTTTGCTTTGCCTCTCCATTTTCCCAGGCTTTTCCCAGGGCAGAGTTGTTGGAGAGGATGAAACTGGTTTTGCTGAGTGTAATGTGTTCTTCCCTGGACAAGTCCCACCCGAAGGATTTACGGAGCCGTTCCATGTGAAAATCTGTCAGCAGTACAACAAAGAGCCACGCTTCGCAACCCTCTACAGTACTAAGGACAAAATTCCTCTTTATTCAGCTTTTAAGTTCACAAAGCCAGCCCAAAAAGAGGAGGAGAACTGGCTTGTGGAGCCGCAGGTAAGTCAGCCTTTCCTTCACTGTAAAGCAAATGTTCCTGGAGAACGTGTCCTCTGGGGTGAAGCTGGGGGTAGGATTTTGGAAAGGAGGCAGGAGCTCTCCTTGTTGAACTTCTTTTGATATTAATTTACCACAAGCAGAACTTATTTTTGTGCTTGGAACCAAGCAAATAAATATTTCCTTGTCCCATGGGGCTTTTTAATGAAAGCTGGGAGGGGAGAGGAAGGTTGGCTTTGACACCAGCTGATGTGTCTGTCCTGCCTAGCCAGGTACCACGGGCAGGGAGCACTGCCGGTGGGTACCAGGGTTAAACACCGCAGCGTCAAGTTGAAGTCTGTTCTGTTGCCAGCGTGATCACAGTGTTGATAAGAACTCTTTAGCTTCGCTGCGCAGGGATAAAACATCCATTTGCGGTTCACCAAGTTGGCGCTGCAGCTTTTTGTTGTGTCCCCGTGTTGCAGACTCCGGTAGGGAAATGAGTTGCCGTGTCCTGGAGCGTGCAGGCTTCAGTCGGGTCAGAGGTGTGTAGTATAAAATGAATTTTGCCAGAGCCTCAGTGTTTGTCTCTCCCTTGACACTTGTCATGTTTAAGCAAGTCCTTCAGGCTTTAATATTTAAAGGAAATCCTTAAATAATTGCCCTAAGAGAACAAGCACTCTCTACCTCTTTTTTTTTTTTTTTTTTTTTAAATTTTGCTGTGTTTCAGGTTTTTCAGCAGTGATCATGTGGAATTTTGTAGCCAACACCAAGCTACCCTTGACTATTGAGCTCAGGAAGGACTGGCAGGGTGCAAGGGTGCTTCGTCAGGGCAGGAATGGCTGCGGTGTCCATGCAGTGCGTTGGGAGCGGGCCCTCAGCTGCTGGGTGCTGGACGTAGCCAGAATCAAAGCTCACCCCTTTCCCAGGAGAGTGGCTGCTGTGCTCATTTTCCTTATGTGGGTGCCAAGATACTAAGGCCACGAGGTCACAGGCAGTGAAGACAGGAGATCCCACGTCCCTGTCCTCACCTCGGACTCTCTGCCTGATCTCCGGGCTGGGTTTTGAGTTGCAGAAGTTCCCAAGGGCCCTTTGATCTGCTCTCCTTCCACTTCACAGATGGCTGTGGGGGGTGTCTGCTTGCCCTTTTCAAACAGGGGGAAGCTTTTTGCAGACTCTGCCATTATGATGTTGAGGGAGGGTGATGAATTTTTAAAGCACAAAGAGGACCTAGGCAAGTGAGCATCTGCTGTCGGTGCCATGGAGGCAGTGAGGCAAAGCGGCAGAGATGAGATCCCTTCCCATTTGCCTCAGCCGCTGATGCCCTTCATCACCCCTAGCCACCATATCTCCTCCTGCTCCTTGTGGTCTGACTCACCAGACCTGCCCAGGCAGGCTCGAAAGCCGTTCCTGCCATGGAGCAGCGGGCAGCCCCTTCACAGCGGCTTTGGTTTTTCTAGTACCTTCCTCCAGCTGCCTCTTCTGCCTTCCCTGCTCCATGCCTCTTCACCTCTCACCTTTTCATCACCCCTGCCAGCACTTCAGAGCCCCAAACCTCATGTCTCCTGCCTCCAAACTGTACTGCAGCCCCAGAAATAATTGTCCAGGCACTACCTTTAGTTGGTCTGGCTTCTTCAGAGTATCCCCATGGATTGCTGTGGGTCCATTCTTAGTTTACACTAATGAGTCCCCTTCACCCATTGCTGAAATGCAGGTGTCTCGAAGGTGGGAGGTAGCAGCTCTGAGGTTCACTGGAGGAATCTCAGTCTGAGCCAGAAGACTACTAGGACAAAAATTGGCACAAGAATCTGTAAGGGGAAGAACTAGTACTATGAAAAATTCCTATAACTCAAGAAATAAGCACGTACACCCCTCTCAGATACCACCACACTGGATCTGGGAAGAGAAAGCAGGGAAGAGATTTCACACCCATTATGTGTGTTCCTATCAAGGCTAGGTCAGAGGGTTAGGAAAGGTCGGATGGATGATGAAGGGAACCCTGAGCAACGCCTGCTCTGCAGCATGGCCCCACGGGGTTATATTACATATTTTCTGAGTAATTTCCTCACCGAGACAGGGATAGCCGGGTTTGAGCAGGCTCAGCTGCACAGTGACATGTGCTTACGCCTATGTGTGTGCAGACGCAAATGCAGAGACACAGCAAGCAGAAAGGAATCACTATAAAAACGCTCTCTGCACTCTGGTGAGGGCTTCAGGGTTGTCTCATGCCTTTTTTTTTGGTAATGATGTAAGTGGTGAGGGCACCCTCTCCCTCCCGGCATGCCTACCTCCTCAGGAATGTCTGCCTGAGAAACAAATGCCAAATGTAGCACAGAGGCAGTAATTGGGTGACAAGTGCGAGGAATGTCAGTGCCACCCACTGCTGATTGGCAGCTGGAAACAGCAAATTAATTAAACAATTAGTGGAAAATTAGACAGCAGGAAGGGTAGGCTGCTGAGCAGGGACTCCCCCAGGCTCAGGTCTGGAAACCTGCTCTGCCACAGATTTTTCTAGGGGTTGAGAGCAAGTTACTTAGGTGGCTTTCACCTCATCTTGTTTCAGTTGTCTGAAAATCTATGGGTTTGACTCTTTCTATGGCTTAGAGAGAGATGGAAAACTGGAGTTGCTTTTTCTGTCCTAGTGTACGACTGACGGGATGAATCACCTTGTGTTTTCATTTGGTTGATGACTACCACCAGCCAGATGACCAAGGTGGGATTTGCATCACCCAGCTTATAGCTACCTCTGAGCCACCTCTCTTGGTAGACAGTCAAGAGAAACAGGTACTTCTAGAGCCACTCATGTGAACGTCCTACAACAGAAACCTTGGCGTAAGATGCACTGTGCCTCCTCCCTGAGAAACAAGTCCCACACTAAGGTTGGATGAAATATTTCCACTGCAATCAAAGGCGCAAGTGTGCCTGAGGCAGTAGTGAGGGGAGTGGGATGCTGAAGTTCACCTTGGATGGTACTGGGGTGGGGAAGGTGGGAGGTAACAGTGTCCTACACTGTTCAATGGCCAAACCTGATGGAAGCTGCCTGATGTAACAGCTGTGTGTTGCCATACTTTTAATCCCCCTCTGCCTCTGCCCTTTCTGGGAAGCTGCAACTCCCACTTTATGAAACATATAAATATTTTTAGGTGCTTACATCCATACAGGTGCTCAGACGCATAATTTATTTTTAAATCCGCATCCTATGAATGAGGTGTTTGCCTGTCTGCTTGAATCTTGCCTTTAGCTATTACAGGTTATTTGGACAGGTGGCTTCATGGCTGACTCCCTGAATGCAGGTATGCTTTGGTGGGGACACAAACCAAAAGCTTTTTGAAGCAGTGGGGAAAGGTATCTCACACTGCAGATTAGATGCAGCGTTGGAGACAGCTTGCTGTTGGGGCTGAGCTGGAGGAGGCATGAAAACCTCAGTTACACATGAGTTATTACAAACCATAATATGAGTTATTATAAACATAACTCAGTGATGTCAGAGCCTTACACATGAACAGCACACGGCTGCATTTTTATCGCGTTCTTTTTTAATTACACCTAAAACAATCCCAATGGTATGCGCAAAAGCCTGCAGCTGAACAGGTAACTGGAGACATATTTTCTTGATAGGCATCTCAAGGTTTTCATGCATCAGCTCATAAGGAGAGAAAGTTAGGTTTATACCATCTGCTTCATGTAGGCTGGGAATCTCTGCCAGGAGGCAGAGCTGACCCGTCTTGGGTCAACGTGTCCCTGTGGTACAGCAGCTCTGCCATGGGAGTGAGAGGGGATGAGTGTCTCCGTGAGGGTGTCAGGCTCAAAAGGGCCGTACCACAGGGGGCAGTTCCCAGGCACAGCCTTGGACCCGTGCCCGCTCCCCTCTCAGCTATACTGCAGGATTAAACACAGCGGGTGCATCTCTTGTCCCACGGCACAGCACTGTCATCGCATCACAGCAGGGAGAATGAGCAGGGGGGGGCGGGAAGGGACAGTGATTTTGTGGAATGCGAAATGTCTGACTTCATCAGCCAGCTGCAGCCCGTGAGTTTGGGGTGTCTGAGCAAGAGGAGCAGAATAAGGCAGAAGAAGTGCAGGATAAAGTGGTGTATTTAGAAAAGGCTACGACTTCTGCCTCAGTACACAGGACTTGCTGACATCCTTTCAGTCCTGAAGCAATAAGCATCGGATGCTTCAAAACGAAGCGCAAGAAACCTCCTAGCAGGAGATGGGGGTAATGCAGCTCTCTGCAGCGGCCAGTGTTGGCACTGAGACCAGCCCTGGTGCAGAGGGAGCCCTGAGCCTGGACCACAGGGATTCGGCTGATGCAGGAGGCCAGCCAGAGCTCAGTTCCTGCAGGGAGGGTGATGGAGAGCTGCTGACACTGGCTGACACTGGCCCCTTCACCCTGACTGTCAGCACAGGCTGACGCAGAGCTGCGAGGAGGGGATGCGGCGCTTGGAGGATGCATGCTCTAGGGTTGCAAGGATGTAGTTATACATCTGTCCAAGTGCACTGCAGGGTGGCCAAGGGACGAGGAAGGATGGCTAGGGAGTAATTCAAGGTAGACTATGAACCGTCTGCCATAAATGTCTCCAAAGTACGTATTATATAGTGCAGTAGTCTATAGGCCAGGAGCAAAGAGAGCAGGTTTAATTGGGCCAGGAGCTGAGGGCCACAGCCTCTGAAACAGAGACTACCGGACGCAGAGAGTGCCAGAGACCGTCTGCCACCCCTGAGCTTCTACCAACATGCTCATCCTCTAATTTGGGGAAGAAAATGACAATCTGGTAAACCCCCCAGAGTGGCTGCAGGCAGTGTCACTAGGAGTGACTAAGGAGCAGACAGAGCTGCGGCCACCCGAGAAAGACATAAGGACGCCCTGGCGTTTAGTGCTCCTGCTCCCACTGCTCATTACCTCCCTGTGCATGGCTCTGTGCGTGACTCCAGGATGAATTCCCACTGTGGCAATTGCTGCCTCTGGCTCCATGGCACAGGAACGGCAGACACGAGCAGGTAGTGCAGATTCCATTGAGGACCTGCAGTGATGGCATCCTCACCCATGTTGTGCCAGGAGGTGTGTGATCATTAAGGATGAGGTTCAGACTGTTAATGACATGAGGTTCAAACTACTAATGACAACCCCTGAGAGAGCCCTAGGAGCTCAATGCGGTGTCTGTTCAAGGCAGGGAAGTTCAGGTCACCTGCCATGGTGCCTGGCTTCATTCTGGTTTCTTACACAATCAGTGGTGAGAGGTAAATGCGTTCTGTAGGCATCTTGTATACCATGGGTTTTTTTCTTCATGGCTTGGATTTGATCGTTCTGAGGGACTGAATTAAGGTGCCATGGTAGGTGCTTAAATGAACTGGAGGTACCACCACCATAGGAGGTAAGAACATGGCCCTAAGTCAGACCATCTACTGGTCTTCAAAATCTCTTCTAGAAAAAAAAAGCACAAGTTAGAGACTTGGTGCAGGGTGGCTGGTGAGATACTGGTGGCTGTGTTGTGCTGTGGACCAAACTGGAGAGCTGCAACCATCCTTCGCAGCCCAAACTGATGTGTTTGGCAGAGCAGCTAAGTAGACCATCATACACTCCTCTGAAGTGCTTCAAGGATAAGGAGGGAGCACAGGATGTGGTCCGAGGCACAGCATGTAGTAGCAGTCATAATGGAAAACATACTTCAAGGCCCATTTTACACGTGGCTTTCTAGAAAGGTAAATCACATCCAGTAACTCTTCTCTCTACTATTTCAGATAGACGATCCAGAAAATGACCTGCATGAGATGGTGCATGAAGCCGATATTGTTGGCACTGTGGCCAACCTTGGTGCAAATCAAGCCCTGACCTCAGACTATATGGGCTCTGGTTATGAGAGAGGGCTGCTCAATCCCAGCTTGCTCAATGAGGAGGATTTCCAGATGGCCACTTACACGCTCACAAACGCTGTCCCTCTGAGCCCGTCTCTGAGCAAAAGCTGGCACAGAGACATCAGAAGTGTGGTGGAGCAAGCTCTGGTCCCTCACTGCTCCAAGAAGGATCATCTGTATCTCCTTGCAGGAGCAATTCCTTCCAGTGTCCAAGTTAAAGGCAAAGTGTCAGTGCCAGAGACCCTCTGGCTGGCAGCATGCTGTGATGCTCCGGAGGGATGGTCCCTGGGACTAGTGAAAAAAATGAATGATGAAAACAGCTTGGGGGACCTCACGGTGGGAGAGCTGGAGAAGCAGCTTCTGGCAGGAGTTCACTTGTTTAAGGGCAACTGTGGGGAAGACAATCAAAGCCAGGAAAAAAAAGAAGCAGTACTGCAAGCTGTCAGTCAGATCCGCTCTGGAGAGCAAGTAGGAACAAGTGACAACCAGGAGGCCAAAGACAGCGGCTTGGTGAGAAAAGTGGCTGGCATCATTGCTACCCCTTTCATCAAACTTCTGGAACTCCTCATCTATGTGTTTGTGGAGCTGGTGAAATTTGTGTTTTATTTTCTGTGGCTTGTTATCAAGCGGGTTGGTGGCACAGTTCTGGATGGAGTCTACAGCCTGTGGAACGGGGTGGTGTCCTACTTTAAAGCCATCAGCATGGTGCTCATCAGCATCCCCTATGATGTCGGGAGGGTCATCGTCAACATATTCCTGGGCTTCCTGGAAATAGTTCAAGATGTGGCATCCCTCACCTACAGGATTCTGCGCATCCCTGTGGGGTTTGTCCTTCACCTCGCTGCTTTCCCTTACCACTCCATCTGTGCCATTCCCTCCGTCCTCAAAGACATGGCCACCGGCATCGGGGGCACCTTCTCGCTGGTCATCGATGCCACAGCCGCACTTCTGCACGGCTTTTATTACTTGGCTGGTCACATAGTCAAACGGTTTGTCCCTAAAGGCTCCTCTGATGACTGATAGGGATGGAAACCAAGGCTGCAAAGGCATGGAGTGAAGGAGGAGGGCAATGCTTTAAGATACATGGCCAAACGCTGTCAATTTTGTTCTGGTATTTATTGTAATGACAATAATAATAATGAACTGATTGGGGAGTAACAGGGAAGGCCGAGGTAATGTTGCTGGGGGACTCCACCACTGTAACTCGAGTTCTGCTGTTGTAAAGTGTTTGGGTTTTATCGGTGCAGGCCACAAAGTTTCTATGATTTGCAGATGTCAAGATGCTTCCTCTGGGAGACGCATGGTAAATGTGGGACGGGGTTAACTCTTTCCAGCAAAGATAACACTGAGACCTACTCACTGGCAGAGAGCTCCACAGAAGCCCACCCCTGCTGGGGAGGAGGTGATGGTCAGGGCAGGATTTTAGTTACAGAGGGTTTTCTGGGACCTGGAGAAGGGAGAAGGAAGTGAGGGTGCAAGGGTTTGGGGCTGGGAAATGGCGGGGAGTGAGGAGGGATGGGGGCAAGGTCCTACTGTTGGTTGCAGTGCTCATTGTACCAGGGTCCTACTGGTGGAGGGGATGCAACTGGGTGTATCTTATAGTCTTCAGGCCTGTCCAGGCAGCTGAAATCATGTGGTTCTTGCTGTGAGGAAAGACCCGCTGATGGTTCTTCTGCATGGTGGGAAAACATTTTCCCTTAGCCATACCAAGGTCATCTTCCCCCGACACTTCCTTGCTCTCTGGTGACCACTGAAGGTCTAAGCTCTGAAGCTTCAAGATAGGGCATTCCATGATGGTCTAAGCCCCCGAAGGTCTCAGCCCTGAAGCCCTTGTGCCTGCTCCGAAGCCCTGCAGCACCCTGGAGTAATGCTTTTGGCTTTGAATCAGCTGCCATCTGCCCTACCTCCCTTGAGAGCTGACAGCTGCCCAAGCAGACAGCAGCATTTATGTGCCTGAGGTCTCCACAAGACGATGCCCAGGCTGGGGATACGTAACACCACAGCTGTCCTTCTCGTGCTTGTTTTGAAAGCCCAGCTTGCAGGGGGAAAATGATCCTCCTGGGTTTCCCTCTAGGGCAAAAGAAGAGCAGCTCTGCCCTTCCCACCAGTCTGGGTCAGCGTCAGGGACACCCCTAGAGGATGTCCTTATGGGACAGCAGATGCATAGGGAGCACCGGGGGAATTCGCTGCTTTTGCATGGGTTGATTTGGTGTTTTCATAGCCCCTGCCTGGTGGTAGGGTCAGAGTGGGGCAGGAGCCAGCCCCAGGCAGGGCAGGGCAGGTGGGTCCCCTCGGTGCTGTGCTGGCTGCGAAGCTGGCTGGAGAGATGCCAAGGAAGGGAGTCCTGCAAACAGGATGGAAAAGGCAGAGGGAATAGGACACTTGTGGTGAGTTGATTACACTTGGAGCTCCTGGGCACTCACGGCAGGAGCCTCTGCTGCCTGGGAGAGGAGGAGAGGTCCATGTGGCTGTCACAGCTGCAGGGACCGGCATGGCCAAGCTGAACACAAGCCCAAGCAGCAAAGGCTTTTGCTGGATGTTTCCCTTCCTTATCCAATTTTGGAAACCTGGAGGAGGGAAAAAGCCATTGCATTGCCCCTTTCTCCTGTGGGGACTACGGACTGTCAGGTGGGAGGAGAGGCAGAGGGGGAATCTGAGGCGCAACGTTTGTTTTGCTGTGTAAATACCCACCTGGTGAGCCCATGCACTACCAGACACTTCCCAACACAGGTGTTGGGAAGGGGACCCAGCCCCTCTTCTGCACCGCTCATCCTCCCTGCGCACTCTTCTTCACCCTTTCTCTCCACCGACGTGAGCCAGGACCCCCAACATCTGGGACACCGGAGTGCATGCAGGGGCTTTGCAGGGAACCATCAAGGGCTTGCAGCCAGATGAGGGGCACAGGGACACCCGCTGCTGCTGGAGGAGGGCACAGGGGTGCTGCCTTTCCACGGGGCTCGACTCAGCGAGGGGCTTTGGATCTCTTGGTGCAGCTGCCTGCAGGAGGAAGGCTCTCAGCCTCAGCAGCGTTTGCTCTGGCTGGACTCCCAGAGGCATTTGGGAGTCCTACATGGATGGATCCTGCTCTTCACCCCCACCTCTGTCCCTGTCTCCAGCACCAGGTTGTTTGTGGACCCCTGATCTGCCGTAGCATACGGAGTCCCAGGGGTGTGCAAGCCGGTGATGTCATCCCTGTGGAGGACCCAGCAGTGCTGTGTTGCTGGTGGCCAGTCCTGGGTTGAAGAAAGCCCAATTACCCAATGCAGCAGCTTTGCTGTCTCACACTGCTCACGGTGGGGCTGAGCTGGGGGGAGATGGATTCGGGGGGGTGAAGGAGACTCAGCTGGTTCATGGTGGCGACAGAGGGTTGTTTCCTTAGCTCAGGGGCTGCGTTCAATGCAACCGGCTGTGCCTGCACACCCTGACCAGGTGGTACCTCGTACACCAGCGACGCTAATGGCTTTGTTGGGGACACCAACAGTGGGGATGAAGTGGGGAGGTGGTGGCCTGAGCAGGGACAGAGGACGACAACTCATCTCACCCTTCCTGGGCCATGGCTGGTTCGTGGAGAAAGAGAGGCCACCCAGCAAGCAGCACTGGCTTTGTTCAAAAGGAAAGGCAGCTTTTGTGGGCCAAAAAGAGTCTAATTAGGTGAAGGCAGCAGTGTTTTACAAATCCCTCCTTTGCCTTGAAGCTGTTGGTATGGCGATTTTGGGTGCAAGCGGCAAGGTCCGGGTCGCTGCTCCCAGCAGACAGACAGCAGCCTGCGGATGCTCTCCGAACCAAACTTTTCATCCTTTCCTACTCAGACATGCCTTCCCTGCTGCAGAGTTGGGTGTGGAGCTGGTTTCGGAGCTGGTTTCTCACTCCTTTACAGGACCCTGTCCCAACCCCGGCACTGCTCTCGGGCTACGTGGCAGCCGCCAAGGCAGGAGAGCAGTCTGCTGAGGTCCCAGGAGCTGCCAGGATGCAGTGACAGGGGCACCAGCCTGGTGGACCCAGGGTCCCCAGCAGCCTCTGAAGGCACATGTGGTGGCAGCAGCTCTCAAGTGCAGCCCAAGCATTGAGGGGGAGGCAGCTGCCCCCCACAGCTGCCCATCCTCGTGCCTTTTGCATGGCCTTATCTCTGACCCGTCTTAGCTGTGTGGTGGCCGCTGATGCACTTCTCGGGAGTCCTGCACCCAGAGCAGCTTCCCCACACCTTAACCCACCAGCACCCGCATCCCAGCTCCACCAGCATCTCCAGTGCACCCCCTGGTTGCAGTGATGTGGGAGCTCATGGGCTGAGAGGCAGCAAAGCTGAGACACCTCCAGAGGTCTGTGTTGCCACATCTCCATCACCGTCGCTACCCAGCCTAGCTTGGGTCAGGCTGCAACCGTGTCTTCTGACCGCAAGTGGACAGTCCTGGAAATATGAGGGGCTGCAGCACTGTAGGATTTGGGCAAATGTGGGGCAGTATTATTAAAAATTGTCTTAACATGCTCAGATTGCAAACACTAAGAACTGCAACCGGCATGGGGTGTTTTTCTTCTGTGCTGCGTGTCTGAGCAGGAGATGGGAAATCTGCCTGGGAACGCTGAGCAATTATCACAGAACAAGCAACGTCCTGCTACAAACTAACTATTGTTTGAGATTATTCTTACGTGGGCATGATTTATGGCTTGTGAGCTTTACTCGATCCTTGGAAACGTATGGCTTCAACAAAATAAAAGTTACTTTTCCAAAGAGGGGCTGGTATCATGTTTCTGTCATAGTTGCAAACGAGATAATGCAACCCGGAGTGCCCTGACTAATCAAGAAAGCACCAGCAGCACAGTTGTTCTTTGTTAGGGCTTGACATCTGATATTAATGGCCCTTTTGTGCTTTTAAAACACCTTTCCTCTCTCAAAGCACTTTAAAAGAGTCAATTCATTGAGCTGCGGAATATGCAGGTGAAAGCTGGGGGTTGCAGGGGGAGTTAGCTCTGTGCGTGCCAGAAGAGAGAGGGAGAGGGGATGTTCTGTTCTTGTGAGATATGGTGAAATGCACCTGGGGTGCAGCGCGATGGACGGTTTTGATGCAGAAAAATCACATCACAGGATGATTCTTTGCAGCTGACAGGGAGAAACTCCCTCTTGAGTGATGCTGTTCCCTTGACTGGTTTTATCCTCTTTAGAAGGAGAACAAGCACTCCCTGAAAGCGGCCGCTTTCTTCCACTGACAGTATAGAGATCCTGGGGTGAATAAACCAGATGTTGGCACCTGCATTTTGTAGGTACCTCTGGGCAGATGAACCTGTCCAGTGGAGTCTGCATTCCTCTCAGGTCTGCAGGAACTGGTGAGACACTGGAACAGGCTGTCCAGAGAAGCTGTGGATGCTCCATAATTGGAAGTGGGGCATCAAGTTGGACAGGGCTTTGAGCAACCTGGTCTAGTAGATGTCCCTTACTCATCCAGATCACCCAATGCTTCTACACAGGGGTCTCTGTGCACCTTCAGATGATCCTTGTCTCTGTTATATCCACCTTGGGCCAGGGCACCGATAACAGCAGAGGGACTCAGCAACCGTGGCAGCACGGCCCCTCTGTCACTGCCCTGGGATAGGTCCTTCGGGTCACACCTCTGCTGCCATTGCATGTTTCAGAGCTGCTCACCTCTGTGTGGAGCTCCATCACCAGCTCGGTACCTCTCTCTGGCCAAGGAGCTGCTCCAGTTTGGAAGGGAACCGAGCCGTGCTTGTTCACATATTATCTCTCCAGCTTAGTCAGTGCCAGAAAATGGAAAAGATACTGGAAAATAAATACCAGTGTAACTCGTTTGGGTGGGAGGGATTGCCCGGGAGCCTGAGGTGTGCCTGGGGTGTGCGTGTTCGTGAGGCTGCGGTCCCAGGGGTTCGGCACGGGGTGATTTCTCTTCCTTGGACACTTTCCCAGTCTGTTGGACTTCCTTCGATTTGGGAATGGATCTCACACTGGGTAACATCTGCCATTGATTTCCACAGAACTGCTGTTTCCAGCCAAGCAGAAAGGCCTACAGAAT